TGTACAATAGCATTTTTGGAAATCTCTAGGTTTTCCTAGGCGGGAATTCACTACATCTGTGATTAAGGAGCCCCTGTGACCTTAGATTCCTCATGAAAAGGCTGGCTGTACCTAGTCCAGGTTCAGTGTTTTTCCATCAGTTTGTTTATTTACTTACATATATTGAGAGCATCATTGATGAAGGGCTGTATGGTGTGTATGTGTGCGTAACTGTCAAGAATACTCATCTTCCTTCCTGGGTCATCTTAAAAAATTTCCAAGTGTACATTACCTCAGGGAAGCAAGTGTTTTCTCGGTGTTGATCTCCTTCCTGTTACCTCCTCTGAGGAGGCTTCCCCTGCTTCAGGCCATCACTTCTCTACATTCTGGTAGGTGTTTGCTCCTTCCTCTGTTGATAAGTCTTTATTTGCATGTCTGTTTCTTCCACTGGAAAGAGCACCTTGAGGACAGGAATTGAGCTTTGGTGGTATTTGTAACTCAGCATGTGGCATAGCACCAGGAATATTGTACATGCTCAGTACATATTTGAGGGATGAGGAATGCATCCCCATAATTATAGACTTGCATATTTTAATAATATGGCTACTGAAAATATCCACACAAAATCCAAAGCACCAAAAGGGCTCATCAGAAGTCCAGCCAGGACTCAAAAGGAGAAAATAATAATCATAACAGCTCCTCTGATTTCTTCATAGCTGGCCAGCTTTTCTGGGTGGGTTTTGCTTACCTGTTCCAAATCCTTATGTGGTAACTGGCTCAGAAATGTGCAGGACCCTTTGACCTCTCAGTTGTCCTGTGTGCCCCCAAATGGGCTCCTTAGGATGTCGGACCAATAGAGAATGGGTGGAAATCCTTGGTCTCTGAGAATGCTTGCCTCTAGTTCAGGGTGACTCTGGGGTCTTCAAGACCACTGAAAAGTGACAATATGGTAAAGGCTTGGGACCTTACACCAAATTCTGGGAAATCCTAAGATCCCAGAGTCATTCATTTATCCATACAAATATGAATGGCACCTGGGTGGCTTAGCTGATAAAGCAACTGCTTCCAGCTCAGGTCACGATCCCAGGGTCCTGGGTTGGAGCCCCATGTCAGGCTCCCCACTCATCGTGGAAGTCTGCCTCTCTCTCTCCATCTGCCTCTTCCTCCACTCATGCTCTCTCTCACTCTTTCTCTCTCTCAAATAGATAAATAAAATCTTGTCAGGTTCAATGATAAGCAACAGCAGATATAGTCCTGGATCTCTTAGAGCTTACAAACTAGAAAAATAGACATTAATCAAATTATGAAATAATGTTACAAACTGATATATGAAAGTATACTTTATTTTATTTTTCTTTCTTTTTTAAAGATTTTATTTATTTGAGAGAGAGAGAGAGAGAGAGAGAGCGCAAGCACAATCAGGGGAGGGGCAGAGGGAGAGGAGGGAGCAGGGAGCCTGATGCGGGGCTCAGTCCCAGGACCCCGAGAACTTGACCTGAGCTGAAGGCAGAAGCTTAACTGACTGAGCCACGCAGGTGTCCCAATTTTTCTTTCTTTTTTTTTTATTCTCCACCCTCTCCTCAGAGACATATTTTAAAAACCCCAAACAAACATCTGAACTTGCTGGGAGATCTCAAGACATCTCTGAGGAATTGATGTGTATACTTTGATTCAAAAGTTGAGTAGGGGGATGCCAGGATGGCTCAGCGGTTGAACATCTGCCTTTGGCTCAGGGTGTGATCGACCCTGGGATCGAGTCTTACATCAGGCTCCCTGTGGGGAGCCTGCTTCTCCCTCTACCTATGTCTCTGCCTCTGTGTGTCTCCCATAAATAAATAAATAAATAAATGAATAAATAGATAAATAAATCTTTAAACAACAAAAAAAAAACAAAAGGTGAGTAGGAGTAAAACAGGTGAAAAAGAGATAGAAGTATTCTACGAGGTAGGGGTAATATAATATGCAAAGGTCCTGGGGTGGGAGGGCACCTGTGTATTTCAGCAGTAGGTGTGAAGGGGTCAGAGTGTGCAGGGTTGTGGAGGCCACTTTGGGGATTTTGTTTGGCTTTCTGCCTGTGAGCAATGGGAAATCACTGTTTTTAAGTTGGGGTGTAACATAATCATATTTGTATGTTGAAAAAAATCACTCTGGCTGCTGTGGGGATGACATATTGGAAGGTCCCAGAGACCAGTTAGCTCATTCAAAAGACTAATGGAATATTTCAAAGGAGAAAATGGAAGTTTGGATTAAAGTGTTGGTGGTAGAGGATGGATGGGACTTTGAGACATCTAAGTGGACCATTGAACAGTTATTGGACACATATGCATTCATGCATTCACTCATATTTATTGACTCCACATCACACGAGAGTCACAGCATTGAGAACTGTGTGGAACAGAAAAATGTACTGCGCTTGGAGTCTCCTATTGAGGACCTTAAAACTTAGGAGACAGTCATGAGGAATAGTTGAGAGTACGGGGTATAGAGAAATGAGGTCTTGGAAAGTTGGATATGATACCCATCTTTCAATATTTGAAAATATTAAGGTAGGGCTTAGGCTGTGCTGTTTCAGAATGCACAACAAATGCCAACATAGAAGGTTATAAAGGAAGCATCTCCGTGATTTATTTATTTTATAATTGGAAGTTTATTAATGTCCTTTATCTATTTCTCCTATTGTCAGCTCATTCCCCACTTCTATGATGGGGAGCACACTTACATTAGTGAGCACTAAGTAATGTATGAAAGTGTCAAATCAATATGTTGTATGCCAGAAACTAACATAACATTGTATGCTAATTATACTTCAAAAAAAAGTTATAGGGAAGCAGACCTCAATGTAAGAGGTGATTTTTTGAAATAAGAACTGTCACTGAAAATACTTTGAGTTTGGATGATCATTTATTCAATTATTATTTAATGAACAAATAAATTGAATGGAGGGGATTCCTGCTTGGCCTTTAAGATCCCTCCTGGCTTTTCAAATTCAATGGCTCTAATTTTCTGTTTAAAGCCTTAATCTTTCAGAATGAAGGTCACAACTTGGATTTCCTTGAGTCCATTTCCTTACTTGAAGCCTAGTACATTCCCTGGGCACTTTCAGGGTGCTGTAAAGAGTAACTTCAAGGTTGTGACCTCTTCAGAAAATACAGTGTATGGTAGGAATCACATTCCCTTCCTTGGCTGGCTGTGGCCTCCTGTGATTCCGAGGAGGACATGTCCCCTGATTCCCTTTTTTTCTCTTGCCAGTCGCTCCATACCATGGTTCTATGGTGCTGGACGGTCTGTTCATAAGTGCAGCCAGTGGGTGGCCCTATTTCTAGATGCCGGCTACCACTTTCTTGCTGCCTTTGAGGAATCATATCTTCCATATCTAGCGACAGGACATGCCTAAGGACTCTTTTACTTGGGAGCCTGGTGGAAGTGCCAGGCCTATTACCATGCCCTGTCAGTTGAACTCAAAGACCTTTTACAGCCTGGGCAGATACTCTCCGGGATTTCTCTTCACTGCTCTGAATTTTTTTAAGATGGATAAGAAAGCAGAATAATGGGGATAACAATAATATGACTTAAGTCAACTCTCAGTTGGCTTTACCAAGTACAGTGGGGAAGAATAGGAACAACACAAAAATATCAGCTGAACTTTCTGTTGTTCATTTGGCTTTGGAATTTCTGCAGAAACACTTGGTCCGTGTTTATGTTATGCTAGGGCCCTTGGTGGCCCTCTCTCCACCTCAGCCTGGAGCTCCAGGTAATAAATGAAAGATTTTCTCAATTGCCTGCTGGTAAGCTCAGGGCATTTCTCTAGGTCTCTAATTTTAATTTATGTCCAGTTTCCCTATTTCATTGTTTTGTGCTCAGACTTTCTCAGGTCATTGTTGGGCAGTCTGTTTGTTTTCTCCCAAGATGTCGCTCTTCCTTGGGTCCAGGGTGCTTTTCATGGTCACCCCATGCCCATCTCAGGTTCTGAGATTCCCCACCCCAATGTGAATCAGAACTTCATGTTCTCATCTGTCCTGAAGGGGGAATGGACAATTAGAGATACATGCTCTCACTCTTATCCCTTTCGTCCCAATCAGACTTTATTAGACCCTAATGATTCATACTCTTTTTTTCTGGCTTGATCTTGAGTTGAAGGTATGTGGCACAAGGTTCTGGGTTACAGTGGATAATATATGATGGTCACATGGTGTGGTAAAAAGTACATTGACTCTATAAATATTAATTCATTTCCTAATCTGCTTGTGGGTGAATGAAAAATGATCATACCTGGAATTTATGTAATGCCTTCTTCCAAGGAGCATACAAGGACACGATAGCACCTCAATGACTCAATGAGAATATTTATTATATTGATAACACAAATCATCCGTAACCTGATTTGGGGATGACTGACTGCTTGTCCTGAGTCCCACACCTGGCTGCACAGCAGCATCCCTTTAGGAGCTTTTCACAAATATGGATTTTTTTGGGTGGCATTTGGGAAAAACAGATTTATACTTCTCCACTTCAATGAAATTTTTCAATAGTGATGGCTTCCCTAGACTTGTGCCTCTCAAACTTTAATATGCATATAACTCACCAAGGGATTCTTATTAAAATGCGGATTCTGATTCACTAGATCAAGGGTGGTGCATGAGATTCTGCATTCTGACAAAATTTCAAGTGATGCTGATGCTATCTAGAGACCACACTTGAAACAGCAAGATCTTAGACTGGAAAAGGGAAGAAGAGAGAGTAGGGGAGAGAGGTTCGATTACCTGGGAAACCAGAGCTCCATGCCCACACCAATTCAATCAGAATCTCTGGGGATGTGTTCCAGACATTGGTATTTTTAAAGAATTTCCCCAGGTGTTTAAAATATGCAGTTGGAATTGAGAGCCATTGTTCAAGAGATACCTTGACCACATCTAATGTCCATTTCTCTGTAGCGAGGGCAGGAGAAGCTGGCTACATCTTCCTTGTATTAAACTAAGAGTTTTGCTGCTTACAGCAGAATTTCTCAAAGTATGTCCTTGAACCCACTTGCATCAGAATCACCTGGGCAGAAAGGGAATAAAGGGGAAAGGAGAAAAAATAGGTGGGAAATATCAGAAAGGGAGACAGAACACGGAAGACTCCTAACTCTGGGAGACGAGCCAGGGGTGGTGGAAGGGGAGGAGGGCGGGGGGTGGGGGTGACTGGGTGACGGGCACTGAGGTGGGCACTTGATGGGATGAGCACTGGGTGTTATTCTGTATGTTGGCAAATTGAACACCAATAAAAAATAAATTTATTATTTAAATGAAAACAAAACAACAACAAAAAAAGAATCACCTGGGCACTTATTATAAATGCATGTTCCCAGGCTTACCCTCAGAAAGCCTGAATAAGAATCTTTGTAGCTGGGACTCAAAAGTATAATTAGAAACAATCTCTCCAGGTGCTTCCTATGTACCATGACATTTGAGAAATACTGACTTATAAAATCCAATCAAATCTCTTTACTTTAGCCTTATAGGTCAGGTCAACTTGAGACAAGTTGGTCTCAACCAGATTTTTTGAGCCCTTTCCTTTCCTCCTCTACTGTGTTAATCTCCTATGGTAGGCAGCTTCTAAGATGGCCCCCAGTGATCTCTCCTCCCTGGTATTCACACTCTCGTGTAATCTCTCCCTCCCCTTGAGTGTGAGTGGTATTTATAGACTCACTTCTATTGAATAGAAAATGGCAGCAGCAATGAAATGTCACTTCCAATATTAGGTTACAAAAAGACTGTGCTTTCCATCTTGGATGCCTTGTTTCTAAGTCCTTGCTCTAGGGAAGCAAGCTGCTATGTTCTGAGGAACCCTATGGAAATGCTCATGTGAGGTTCACCAACATTCACTTGAGTGAGCTTGGAAGTGGATCTTTTTTAGCCAGTGCTTGAGATGACTGCCACCCCAGCTGACCTCTCCACTATACCTGATGGGAGACCCCGATCCAAAGGACCCAGTGAAGCCACACCTGCATTCTTGACTTATAGAAACTGGGAGATAATGAATGTTTGCACCTCTTAATTTTACGGCATTTTGTTACAGAACAAATAACTAGTGTCCACTTTGAAATATTCCTCATTTTCCTTCCCACATACCCAAGTCCCACCTGTTTCAAGCCTTAGCTGTTCTAAGACACTTTTCTCACAGTGATTATCTTTTTATGAGCTCCAAGAGCACTGCATATAAAATCGGTAGCACTCATTGTTAGATGTGCTTTCTTGTATTTTTTTTGGTAAGCTTTAATTGTAATTCTACCGTTATCTTTAAAATAAATTGTAGGCAAATTGACGAGAATAGAACTTAGGCTAGAACTTGACTTATAGCCATTCCTGTTCCCATGACCTATCCCAATATCACAAATACAATAATTGCCCTATAAACAAGTGTGTGATGAAGATGATAGTGCATTGGAAGGAATATTGAATATCGAAGGTATCAGGAGAGCAGTTGTTTTCACGAATCAATGTCTACTTTGCATCCTAATGCCTGAGTTGTAACTTAATGTGGAGAGAGGATTCCAGACCGGACACTTGAGCAGAAAAACAAAGAGGTGGTTACTAGAGCTAACAGGGTGAAAACACTCCCTTGATGATTATTAAATGTTTATAAGCCCTCCTCCCTGTCAGCCTGCTCAGTGGGATCCTCCTGGCCTTGGCTCCCTATAGGCTCAGAGACTTTGGGCTCACCCATTTCAACTTGGGACTTGGAATCTTTTTTTTTTTTTTTATTCAATTGATTCATGACCAATTCAGAAATCCCACATTGCCAGGCAGCCCAGGTGGCTCGGTGGTTTGGTGCCACCTTTGGCCCAGGGCGTGATCCTGAAGCCCCGGGATTGAGTCCCACGTCGGACTCCCTGCATGGAGCCTGCTTCTCCCTCTGCCTGTGTCTCTGCCTCTCTCTCTCTCTCTCTCTCTCTCTCTCTCTCTGTGTCTCTCATGAATAAATGAATAAAATCTTTAAAAAAAAAAAGAAATCCCGCATTGCCATAAGCATTAGTCTCCAAGATCTTTCTCAGCAACTGACATGAAGGAGACAGTGTTACCCCTCTCTGCCCATCCCCATGGCTCCCCCGGACTCCTCTGTAGCTAAGGGATGATATAAAGCATCCTATACCTGAAATAGTTAGGGAGCATTTCAGAAAATGACTCTAATCATCCTTCTTCACAGTGTAAGAGTTAAAGCTATCTCTAATAGCTTTGGAAATTTTGATTAGGGTGGTAATAGAAAACCATCCTTGCTTTATCTAGTTTATGCACACGAATGCTTTCACAATAAAGACCCTGGAATGAGCTACAGCACTCACGATAGAAATTCTGTTCATCTGAGCCTGCCTCCACAATAAGAAAACCTTGTCAGCATTGAAGGTTGTTCTATTCAACCTTTTCTCTAAAGTCCCTGAGAGGCAGGTGCAGGGCTCCCTTGGTTTCTTCGCATAAACTCTAATGAACTCTTCTGCCCTCTTTGATTGATAAATAGGCACCCTCTCCAACCACAGAGATAAGGCCCTTGCTCCAACCTAGCTCTTACCTCTCTTATCAGATGTTGCTGTGAGGTGATCAGGTGGTCTCAGCGCGGGTATGGCACACATTTTAACCACAGATGGTCTCTCATTGGCTCCGCCAGCTCAGCTAGACCCAGAGGTTCTGAGGCGACCAGAAGCAGGCCTGGAGTACTGTGGATATCTGCTGCGCAGTAATAGGTACCGGCGTTTGCTGTTGTTGCTTTTTCAATGTCGAGTATACATTGACTCTTTGAAGCATCGGTATTTCCTTTGAAATTACTCCTTAAATTGTCATTGGTATTGTTGCTCTGTCTGTATATTAAAGTCAGGGAGTTATCTTCATTCTTCCTATACCAGCTCACCTGATAGTTCTTCAAGTCCCCTCCTGTTACGTTGCAGCGGAAGGTGGCAGGCTCTCCAACTAGAACAGTCAGGGTTTTGGTTTCTGGTTCCAAAATGATATCCAGTGAGACCCCTGAAAGGGCAAGCCCAGGGAGAGAGGCTGTGGGGAACAACCTCTACCACAAGGGGATGGATGTCAGGGCCGAGCTTGGCAATGCCCTCCCCTCAGAACCCTCTCTGGAACCCCACCCCCACCCCAAATCATCCCTGCAGCACATTTCCCTAAGGATAAAAGGCCCAGCGACTCATCCTTACCTGCACAGAAGAGGGTGAGGTAGAAGAGGGGACAGGTCCACAGCATGGCTTCGTGGAGGTGGCTGTGCGGTGTGTGGGTGCTCCCTGGCTGCCCCTGATCAGCCACTGTCTGTCTGCCCATGAGAAGTTCTGTCTGTTATCGAGGTGGTTGGGTGCTAGTCACTTCCTCAGAGAGGTGTGTAACAGGCCTGCCAGCTCACAGGTTGGGCTGTTTCTCCAGCAAACTCAGGCTAATTATCTATGGCAGGTCAGATTCGACTGGGGAGAAGAGGAGGTGAACAGGACGTGGCTCCTGTCTTCAAAAAACTCCGGTTTTTTTTGGCGGGTGGTGGGGAGGCAGACATAGAACAATCACAAAGGAGAGTGAAGTGCTATGAAAGAGTTAGACGCAAAGTGCTCTAGGAGCGCGGAGGCAAGAATGGTCTCTGCCAGGGCCAGGAAGAAGACTCTCCCTGAAGGAGCCTTGGTGACAGGGCTGTGCCAGCGGCCTCCAGAGGGCATTCTCTGGGGACAAAGCGGTGCAATTAGGCTCGAGGGCTTGCAGGAGCAGAGCAGCCTGCAGGGCCGGGTTATTCTGCCTCCTTTGTTCCTGCACGCGCCCCTTTTGCTTCAGCCTTCACCACCCCTGCTTCAGTCTGAGCATTCCTCACCTACTGAAAGCTATTGCCAGACTGTTCCAAGAGGTCTCCCAGTTTCCAGACTCCACCTGCTTTCAGCCATTCTCCAAGCAGCCATCATACCGATTTTTTTCCAGAGCAGAGGGGAACAGGGCACACCTCTGCTGAAACTCCTTTAGTAGCGTCCCCTGGCCTTTAGGGGAATAGGAAAGTCCTATGTCATGGCCCTAATGATCTCCTGATCTGCTTTCTTCTCCAGTTTCACTTTGACCACTGGCACTCAGTACTTCAGCTGCACAAAAATATTTGCTGGTTCAAAGATGTAGTATAGTCTTTCTAGTCCCAGTTTTTGCACTAGCTGCTCCTTCTTCCTGGAAAAACCAGACCTTTGTTCTCTCTTCCCCACCCCAAGTTAAGGGAAGTGTTCCCTGGGTTCCCTGAACTTTCTGGGTCATGGCACTTATCATCTTTATTATAATTATCTGACAATTTGTTTGTTTTCTGCGTTGGACTTGAAGATTCTTTAGGACAGTGGCTGTATCTTATTTATGTTCACATTCTCAGTCCCCAGTACAGGACTTGTCAATATTAGGAGGTTGACAGAGATGTGCTAGTCTATGTAAGCAGGATTTCTGTCTGAAGTTTCCTGACTCTTAAGGAGCATTCTGGGTTGTTCATCTAGTGAACCATGGGATTAGAAAAGGATTTGCCATTAACCCAAGTCCAAACCTGGGGAAGCAGGTCCTCTACCCATTGACGTAGGTGTAGAGAGAGGCAGGCCCTCTACAGGAGGAATAGTTCCCACCTGGCTAGACCCTGCTTGTCATTGTGTGGCCAACATTCTGATGTCACCCATGGGTGGCTAAGTGGTATCACTACCCACGTCGTCTATTTGTGAAAGGAGTGCTGGTTTTGCAGGGCTAATTGCTCTGATTTTTAAATCTTCCTTTGCAACTTACTGGTAGCTGGGCAAGGTACAACCCCAAGTTTTGATGTCCTTATCTGCAAATAGGGTAATTGTAGTTACCTTGCAAGGATGTTGTGAGGTTGAAATGAGAGAACACGTGTGAAGAGCTTATCCCTATACCTGGTGCATGCTGGTAAGCCCACCACAGATGTTGATTCTTTGCCACATCTCTTCTGCTTTACCATGGTTGGGTCAGTGGCCTTAGTCATGGATCCCTACTTGAGCTGTAGTCACCAAGGGAGACACAGGGCTTGGAATTTCAAGTATGGCACAGGACATT